TTGGGGGGAGGCTGATGTTTGCCTGGGAGAAGATGGTCTGGGCTGTGTGGCTCATGGTACTGATGCAGGACTCACCCAGGGTCTGGACAGTGGGCTCTTCTCTGCGACCAGCTCTGCTGTGCAGTTTCGATTTCTCACAAGTTTCTTTTTCCTGCCCAATAGGCAAGTTAGGAATTGGCAGGGTACTGAGTGGGTGGAACTAACTCCAGAGGATCAGATTTCTTTAGGGCAAAGAGGCAGAGAGGGTGGAGATTTGGGGGCTTCCTGTCCTGGATGCAAGGCAGGACTTGAGTCAACCGACCCCTCCCTGTTGGGGGTGGGGCTCTCCAAGGCCTTTTCCAGGCCTGGTTGTCTCTCACCAGCCCAAGCTGACAGCGGCAGAATCTCTCTGTCCCTGTTCATAAGCCTAGTAAGGCTTCTTCTCTGGATGACCCAGCCCTCAAGGCTGTGTTACTTGATTTTCGGATGTCCCTGGGATGGGCTGTGAAACCATGTCCATTAGCTCCACCTCTGTGACCTTTCAGTGAGGTGTCTGCAGGGCAGTCACGTGGCAAGCATGAAGAACGGAGGAGTAGATGAAATTGAGGGTGTTTTTAGCTATGTGAACTTCTGTGGTACTATTGGTCTAATTGTGCTTACAAGACTGGAAGGTAGCTGTGACTGTGTTAAGTGTGGCCGGTCACAGGTCAGGCGTTTGTTCCAGGGTGTTTCCTGGCCCCTGGTATAGAGACCTTACCGTGTTGATGAACACCCTTCATGGCATCCACACCTTGGGGCCCCTTTTCTTTGTCTGTTGTGGCCCTGGTGAACCCCAGGGCCTTTACTCTGAGCAGGCCTCCAGGTCTCTATATTGGTCCTGCGCCTGTCCTGTCCCCAGCACCCAGAGGCAGCTTGGCCTCTATGTGCAGCTCTGCCTGGAGGTGCTGCCAGTCCCCCAGCTGTCCCAGAGCGGCTGAAGAACATCCCCTTCCTCTGCCCTACTCCCTCTCTCAGGCTCTGAGTTCTTCCCTCTACCGCCCACCCCAAGCTCATGTTCTGTCCCCCATGGGACAGCAGAGGGACAGGCACTGGGAAGTAGGCCTGAATGCTGGGGTCACACAGCTCCCTCATGCGCCACCCTTTGGTCTACTTCTGTCACTGAATGCAGTCACTAGGCTCCTGGATGCTGAGTTGCCTGTCCTCTAAACAAGTCACAGTAGGCAGTTCTACACATGGTCTCTTGGGGGCCCATGTCCATTCCCAGAAGAATTAGAACCTCTTCTTTCTAGACAGGAACCAAACTTGAGATTGTGCCTTGAAAGGGCTTAGATGTCATGAAGGAGGACACTTCTGCTTTCATGTAGCCAAGGGCCAGACATTGTAGAGCAGGACCCAAGGGGACATGCTTCTCACAAATTGCCACTCTGGTCCACCTGTGAACTGTGCTTCAGATCCAGGTCCAGGACTGGAGCCTGTTAAGTCCACAGGATAACAGGCACTTGTTCCTCACAATGGTTGACATGCTTTCCCTGGCAGTCTCCCCTGCAGAGCTGGTGGCCATTGCTGGGCTGCGGCCCTGAGGCTTGGGCATTCCCCAAAGAGCATCACTCCAGCCCTTTGCCCCAGGGCTCACCATATCATCCTTCACAGTCTAGCCACTGGCCCATTGTCCCCGGCTGAAGACCTGAACCATGGCCAACCCCCAATGGTCCCAGATAAGTCCTAGTGCATAGCAGCAGTACTGCTCTGCTGTGTGGGCATGGAGCTGGAGAGGGCAGCTTTCTCCCTGAGTCTGGTGGGAGCTGTATATTTCACCCATCAGTGTGGAAGGCCTCCACCCACAAGTTTTGGGTATCACTGGGCTACCCTCACCATAGCTTGCTTCTCATGTCTGACCTGCATGTCATGGCCTGGATCTTGACTCCTGTTCTGGATGTCTCTGAGCTGCGCAGGTCCAGAGGTCCTCAGGAGTCAGCTCAATCTTTGCTGGGGTGCAGCAAAGGGTTCTCCTTCTGCCTCCTTCTCCTTCCATCCTCAGGGATTTTCCCAAAAGTTCTCCCTAATAAATGCTTAAACAGAAGCCCTAGCATGTGTTTTTGGTAGAAGGCTGATGGAGCAACTTTCAGTACCTTGCTGAGACTGGCTTTCCTTCAGAGGCTGCTGGTGCAGGGTCACTGTAGGGCACAGTAGTCACCTGAACAGGAATGCACTGGCTGCAGTGCAGAGCATGGACTCTGTAGTAGTGAAGGATGGTGCACCACATGGAGGGAGGGCCCTTGGTCTTAGCAGTTACAAGTGTGGATGGAAAAGCTCCCTGTGTCCTGGACTTCTGGATGGTGGGACCTCAGGATTTAGTTGGGTATCCAAGGAGCAGGCAAAGCCAAAATGTGGGCTCTGCCAAAGGCTGGGCAAGGCAGGATAGTGGCAGGGGTCTGAGGGCTTCACATTGGGACATGTGTGTGTGTCACTAGCACACTGAGGCATCTTGCAGGCATAGCAAGATTAGCCCCAGCCCTAGGTGAGGCTACCACTCACAAACAGTTCCTGGTCCAGGAGGGCACAACAGATTCCAAGGAGACTGAGTAGGACCCACCTACCCAGGAGGCAGAGGTTAGGAAGACCCCATAAGTGGGGAGCACATTGTGGCCTTGCCAGTCCTGCTGGCTGGGCAGTCCCTGGGGCTGCCTGGCTTCTGTTTAGCAGTCACCTCTAAAGGGGTCTTCACTTTCCCAACTTGCTATGCTACCAGATGCAGGTGGCACTGTCAAAGTCTGAGTTCTGACTTCTGGGCACTCAGGACTGTGGTTTCAGTGACTCTGGTTCCAAGGAGAGGGCTGAGTCCAGGCTTTGGGGGCTCTGGCTGCACCCCGGGTGAAGGAAGTCTTCTGTGGCCACAGCCCTGTGTGACTTCTGTGGGTCTTTCTGGGGCAGTTCTGTCTCCTGGGGGCTTTGGGTGGGGTCTCCTTGGTGGAGAGAGGGTACAGGCACCAGGGTGGCCACCCTGTTCTGCAGACCCAGGCTATAATTTGGGCTGTGTTTAGTGGGTGGAGCTGGCCATCAGGGCACGTGTGGGTCTATATGTAAGCTGGACACACCCTGGAAGCAGTCTGAGCGAGCGAGACGGCGCTGGAACCCATGGACACATCGTTCCCCCGTGAGGAAGCCCAAGCCCCGACATCAGGCAAAGCTGATGGTGCTGCCCCGACAGCCCTCATGCTGGGAGCACCGAGCCCTCCACCTCATGACCACCTGATCTGGTCCATCTTCAGTACAATCTACCTGAATCTGTGCTGCCTTGGCTTCCTGGCACTGGTGCACTCTGTCAAGGTGGGCTATGGGCACAAGTGGGCCTCCATGGAAGATGGGGAAGGAGGCCCCATGTGGTGTGGGGGAGGGGGCTCCAGGAATGGAGAGGGGACTCAAGGAGGGTGGAAGAGGGGTGCCATGGGCAGTAGTTTGTGAGTGGAGCCACTGTGAACCAACCCCCTTGACCCCAGCTTGAGTCCTCTTTGCACACAGGTGGGTGTGGTGGCAGAGCTGGTCCAAAGGCTATGGGCCTGTAGCTGGGGTTCTCAAGCCACATACCTTTGCAGTCCCTAAGACACTGGGCCTATGACTCACCGAGGCCCAGCCCTGTGTCAGGTTGGGTCAAGGAGGGAACAGGGCCCTATCAGGTAGTGTCCCCTGGGCTACAACCCTCTCACCCAGCTGGATAGGTCCTGGCCCCAAGACCACTGGACCCATAGTGATTTGCCTTGTGGTTTTCACAGGCCCGAGACCAAAAGGTGGCTGGGGACCTGGAGGCAGCACGGCGCTATGGCTCCAGAGCAAAGTGCTACAACATCCTGGCTGCCATGTGGACGCTGGTTCCCCCGCTGCTGCTCCTGGGACTGGTGGTGACTGGAGCCCTGCATCTGTCCCGGCTGGCTAAGGGCTCTGCAGCCTTCTTCAGCACCAAGTTTGAAGACACAGACTATGACTGACTAGCTGAGTCCCTGCCCTGGCCAGAGCATCGCTGGCCCAGAACCCTGCCTGAATCTGACCCTTGAGGCACCCCAGGGCCAACCTGGGCACCCAAGGATGACCCACTTAGACCCCAGGAACCTCAGCCCAGCTGTAAGGATCCCTAGCCCCATACTCACTGGCTGTCTCTGTTCACAATTAAAAGTGCCAAATGCCAGCAAGTATCTTGCTGACCCTACTGACCCTGTAGGAAGGAACAGCTGTAGGGATGCACAGCTCAACCTCTTGTACCGACTTCTACTTGTTTGGTTTTGTCCACTCAGTTGTCCCAAATTGTCCCTTGTGCTTAGGGCAGCCTGTGGCTTCTAGGGTGGAGGCACCAGAATATTTTAGGACAAAGTTTGGGAATGCAGGCTTTGATTCTTGCTGCCCTGTGGTTTGGTGTTGTTACAGAATATGTCTGGGTGTGCCCTAAGTCCATGTGATCCACCCCCCCTGTGTGTACTGCTCCCTCCTGGCCCTCTGTTCCCATGTCCCAGGCACCCTTTGATGATGAGATCGCTATGCTGCAGGAGTCTTCCTTCCCTAGAGTTAGCAAGGGAGGTGGGGGAGATAGACAGCCTATTTCCCAGGTGAGATGGGCACTGGATTCCCATGTGGTCACACAGACCTCATGCCCACAGGCAAAGACCCCCCCCAACACACTCCAGAGGCAAAATGGAATATCTCTGCAGCTCCCCAAGACTGGGGTACAATTCTTTGCCTGGCTCACCACAAGATGCCCCTGCCCTCAGCTGCAGAATCCATCACATAAAGGCTGCTAAACACAGCCTTGGGTGGCTGGGATGAGGCCCTGATCCGCATCTCAGTGGCAGGCAGGCAGGGTGAGCTCACCCTAGAGCCTAGGGGTCTTCCTGAAGCCGCTTTGAGACACTGAGTCCCAACCAAGTACCTCCCCTCTTGGGGTTCTCTCAGCTTGCAGTTCTCCCTGGGCTGGAGGAAGGGTTAACTCCCATGCAGTTCCTACCGAGTGACAAACCTGGAGTTGGGGCCTAGTTTGAACCCTTATCCCCCCGGGAAGGGTATGCTAGTGGCTTTGCTAGAAAAAGAGGTGCCAACCGGGGAGATGGCTCAGTAGGATAAGCACTTGACTAGAAACAGAGGTGCCATGGCCAACCAAGGAAATAGGCAACGTGTCACCTATCCTTGGGCCAAAATGGGGACAGTGTGCTGCCTGGGTCTGTTTTAAGGAACCAGCCAGTGCTGGACAGAGAGGATGGATGCAGAGGTCAGTGCCCAGGGAAAGGGTCTTCCACTGGCTCCTATGTGTAGTGGGGCAGGGATAGGTTCTGAGAGCAAAGCTGATGGCCAGCTGCTGGTGCAGCCCTCCCTGTCCAGGCTGTCTCCTGGGAAGGCTGATGGACTTTGATTAGCACATATACCCTGGGAAGGTACATAGAGGTGACCTACACATGCAGCAAGCAGCAGGTTATACTGTCCCTTGGGTGCAAGGCCACCTACCAGCCCATGCTTTTTTTTTTTTTTTTTTTTTTTCCAGGACCAGGGATTGAGTTTGATTGAACTCAGGCCTTTGTGCTTGCCAGGGAAGTGTTTATTCCACTGAGCCATCTCCCTGGCCCCTACCAGCCCATCCTGATGCTTTTGTGTAATCCTACCACTGGGCCTCCCACTCCTGCCAAGACAGTCCCTAGCCAGGCTTGCAGCAAGTGACACCATCTCCTTTACAGACTGCTTGTCCTTGGCACTCAGTGACAGTGATCCACAGGGCCCTGCAGCTGAGGGACAGTCAGCACAAGGCAGTTCCTGAGGGCTCAAGTCATAGTCTTGTCCCTGTGGCTGGGGCCCCAGCAAGCATGCCCCCCCATACTCATTGTGGCCAAGAGATGAGCAGTGTCCGAGTTCCTGCCCTCTTAATTCAGACACTGCCACTGGAGTGGTCCTAAGAACTCAGTGCAGGGCAGCTGCTGGAGGTCAGTGTTGCAGCCTGCGCAGCTGAACAGCAGGGAGACGCAGGTCCTGGGCTCCCAGCTGGAGCTACTCCCAGCCCAGGGTGCCCTCACCTTTGTGTGGAGCTCTGTTTGTTTTTCACTGAGTGAAGAAAATGGGGATGTAACAATGCAGAACAAAGAGGTGGGACAGACACCAGGCATTCACTTTGGTTCCCAATGCTAGGGGAAGGAAAGTCCACCCCTAAAATAATGCTACTTCTGGAGGAAGGCATTCATTTGCTCCTTTTGGGGGACACTGCGCCAACACCAACCTTTAATTCTGAGTAGGCTTGATGCAGAGATCCAGGCCTCACTTGGCATCGGCCCTAAATGCTGTTACCACCTTATTGCTCTTGGGAGACATCTAAGACAAGACATTCTACAGTCTCACTGGCTACAAGCAGAGGCCAAGCAGACCCTGGCTGCAGGCTTGAACCCATGTATATTTGGTTCTGGCTCCCCTGGTGGACAGCAGGGAGCCTACAGCTCTTGTTCTGCTGTCTACTGGCTCTGTCCTCGGGTGTCAGTGCTCCTACCCTTCTCACTGGTGAGGGTGGGCTGCCCAGCCAACCTCACTGTGCCAGAGACTGGCCAACTACAGAATCAAGGAGGGTCAAACAGTAGGGAGACAAGGGTGTCACAGTGTGCAACATGGTGGCATAGAGGATGAATGATTATTCAACTTAGTTCAATCAACAAAAGCCCCCAGTGTTAGACAGACTCCCAAGAGAAGCCCCAAAGCCAAGAAGTCTCCAACTTTTAATTAGGGTATCAGTGTAAGAGAAAAAACTACAAGAGAAAAACAATTTAGGCAAGGAACTGTCTCAGGACTAAGTAGTTTTTCTTGGGGAAAAGAAGCACAACAGGGGGCGAGGGAGATGGCTGAGTAGAATAAGTTCTTCCCTGGCAAGTGCAAGGGCCTGAGTTCAATCTCCAGTTCCGGAAAAAAAAAAAAAAAAGAAAAAGAAAAAAAAAAAAAAAAAAAAAAAAGCACAGCGGCCAGACACAGCATGCTTCACTATCCACACTTGTGCAGCCATTCGCTCCTCACAGGCCTGTTCTGCCCCCAGTTTAGTTGGCTATTCACTCTTCAGCCAAGTCTCCCATGGAGGGTACCTGACGCTGTCTTGGGTGGTTCTGAGTGGCTATGTCCCCTTCCCCAGGTTTATACCCTGCAACTCCTGTGCCCAGGAGAGTCTAGAGACCAAGGACCACAGGTGGGCATGGGGGCTCAGATTTTAGCTTAAAAGTACAAGACAGGGCACCAAAGGGTGGGGTGTTGCAGTCAGCTAACAGACCAGGTATGAGTCCAGGCTCAGAGAAGTTCAGCTGGGGGAGGGTTTTGTGTGGGGCAGAGAGGACTGATTTCAGGAGGGCCCAAGATATCTCTGAGGCTTGCACCCTATCTTTTGGGGGGCTGAGCTCAAGGATGAGACTCTGGGGCAGGAGCAGGATCCAATGTCTTCAAAATACTCTTCCAGGCAACTGGGCTACAGTTTTAGAGCAGTGATGAGGGTGATCTTTGTATCCGGCCAGCTGAGCAAGGAAAGGATACCTTCTGCCCTGCAGAAAGAAGGACCCCATGGAGTGAGGATACATGTGGGGCACCAAGGGGCCACATCATCCCATACTCTTTACCTACCCAGCAGGAGGGGGAGCTGAGCTCGTGAGGGCCACAGCTCAGCTTCCAACTGGGGAGCCTTGGGCCATGTCTGGGCTGTGACCTCGATTGTCACCGAGTCCTTGCAGAAAGTAAAGTTGAGCCTGTTTCCCTGGTAGAAGATGCCAGACACACACACTCTGGAGATGCCAGTCAGGCAAAGAGGGTCAAAGGTCACACCTGTGCAGGTGATCCTGTGAGGACAGCTGTGTGAGGAGGCGAAGAGAACCATCCCCACCACCTGTACATATTCCTATACTCACCTGAAGCCTGTACACCCAAATAACACTGCCTGCAGGAAGCCTCCCATGCCTGTCAGGAAGTTCACAGCCCCAGACCCATCTGCATTCTCTGTCCATACCTGCGGGAGGGAGGCTGTAGAAGGCCTGGCACACTGGCCTCCTATGGCTGTCTTCCCAAGGCCAAGAGGAACTCCAAGCTGTGACCATATGGGCCTGAAGGGGCAGGTGAGGTCAGCCTGTGGGTCAAGGGCTCAAGCCAGGCTGACCTTAAAGGGCTCAGTAATGTTGATGATGCTCCTGTCCAGAAGGTCCTGTGCCCGTGATGGGTCCTTCAGCTCCATCCAGCCCACAGCAAACATGCTCTGGGGTCAGAGTTCAGAGGGCACGGGGCTAAGACCCAAGTCTTGGGGAAGGAAGAAATGAGGCGGGGCAGAACTAAGCTTCAGGCTCTCACCCATGTCATGGCAGGGCCCCGAGGGGAGGTTACGGCCTCATAAATCTCCAGATTTCTCCTTCGGACGTCAGGACTCAGGGAGAAGGGGACAGGGTACCCCAGAAGTATGACATCAGCCTGCTTCACCTCCTCTCCTAGGGGATGGACTGCTGATAGGGGTATGCTGGGTCAGACACAGGGTTGTGGGTGGGGAAAGGATGGAGGTACTACTCACCAGGCTCATACCCATCAAACTCAGGGTGGAAGTTCCACTTGGAGTCAAAGGGTACCTTGATTTTATCAGCCACCACCAGCCACTGGTCAGGGACAGGTTGACCCAGGTCCCGTGCCAGGGCAGCAGCAAAGTACAGGCTGGGGAAAGACACAGGCTAATCTCAGCACTGCTGGTTGGGCCAGGGCTACTAGGTGGGCAGGGGAAGACCCTGGGGTTGGATTCTGACCTGTTCTGGACCAGGACGTTGGTGTATACGGAATTATTGACTCCTGCATGGTACTCATCAGGGGGCATAACTCCTGGGCACATGAATCCACCGTGGCACATCGTGCAGCAGTCCCCATCCACCATTCTGCCTGCCCACCTGCCTGCCCAGGCCCACACCTCTCAGGTGGAACTTCTTCTCCTCAGCATTCCACTCCACTCGGCTGCACCAAAACTCAGCCACGGCACTGACCACATCCCAGCCACCAGCTTCTTGGAAGAGTTGCAGGTCCTGGGGGGCAGGATGTGGGACGGAGGCCAGGGCATGGAGGGTTGATGTGCAGGCCTTGGTCCTAAAATGTCCCTTAAGACTGCATCCCAGGACTGGCCCCAGGTAAGAGGCCCTGGATATGAGGGCACACCTGGAGAACCCTCACCTGAGTAGCATGGTAATATAGCTGGAAAGCCAGTACCACTGCTCCATTGATGTGGACCTCCTGGGCCCCATAGATGTCCTCAGGGCAGACCTCCAGGCCAGAGTCTGCACTCTCCCAAGCAAACTTGGCTCCCTGTGGGATGGAGGTTAAGGAACGGGAGAAGGATGGGCCAATGTCCCTGACCTAGGGCGTCTGATCCCTTGTGCAGAGTGGAGCGGGGAGTGGAGGCTCTGGTACCTGCTGTGTGACCCTATGGGCCACATGGCCTCTGCCTTGTTCTCAGGGTGTGCTAACCCTGGGTGACCCCCAGGGAGTGGCAGGCCCCTTACCTGGTAACTCAGGGCCTGGGCATTCTCCAGGGCCCCGCGTAGCGTTCGCACACGGTACTCCAGGAGGGCCCTGGCAGCCTCCGGGTGAAACAGTAGGATATTTGGGAACATCCAGAGGTCCTGAAAGAGCACCCTCATTCTGCAGCTGGATTGGCTCCCTATCCAATCTCTCCCCCTCCCCACATCAGCCACTGTTAGTGCGCAGTGGCCCCCAAGTCCTCTTCTTTTGTGCCCTCAGCTTTTATGGTTCCCACACCTCACTCTCCACCCAATTCCATGTGGCAGCAAAGGTTTGTGTTGCTCTTGAAATAAACTTCTCATGGCTTCCCTGGCCCTAAGAAAGTTCCAGGCCAACAATGTTCCCCAACCTTTTAGGGGGCCCTCTCTCACACCCGAGGCCCCCCTGGGCACCTCTTGGTCACGTTTACCCACCAGACTCCTGCATATCCTTCTGGCAGACACCACTTTCTCCAGGCAGCCTCCCCACAGCCCCCCTGCTCCCCCAACCACTGCCTGGGATCCAGGGAAGGCAGAAGTTGATCCCTCACTGCGTGTAGTGGAGCTGGTGTTGGGCAGGCCACACATACCTGGTCCCAGAAGACATGGCCCCAGTAGCACTCTCCTTGGCTTCCATTGGAGAGGCCTCCAGGGCTGAGGCCATGGCAGATATGTCCTGAGGTCCCAGGCTGGGGCAGGGCGCTGAACAGGTAGTAAAGGGAACTGCGGAGAGCCTGACGTACAGCCAGGGGCCCTGCTACGTCCAAACTGCAGCCTGTCCAGAACTGGGCCCAAGCCTGCACGTGGGTGGCATACAGGGAGTCCCTGGCCTGCAGCTCTAGGGCCTCAGTGAGGCAAGCCTGGGCTTCCATCTGGCTGCCACCCACCACAGTCAGGAAGTCCCAAGTCCTGTTCTCTTCGCCTTTGCCAAGGCTCAGGCTTGGGGGAACTGGGGTCCACAGCATGTGTACCTCCTTCTGGGCCCTCCCCGGTTGCTCTGGGGTGAAGGTGTGGCCATATAGGTACCTGTGGAGGTGCAGCTGTGCCTTAGTGATGCCTTTCTCCTGGAGTGACCCAGTGGGGACTCAGGCCCCTACTCACCTGAAACCCTGGAAGTCAGGGCCCTGGCGCAGGTCCAGGTCTGGGCTTTCTGGGGAGAAGGCTGACCACAGTGGCACCCTGATGGGCATACTCTCCGGTGCCATACGTTTAATGTACACCCTGAAGGCCAGGACATGGGGCAGCGTGCGGTGGGCATAGATGCGCTGGGAGGCCTGGAAGCTAGGGCCCTCCAGAGTGTGCAGAAAGGAGCCTGGGGGAGATTTGGGAGCCTGGTCAACCTGGGGAGGGGCAGGAGGGGACTCCAAGAAGGGTGCAAAACTATTATGCTTCCCCAGCTTAGGGAATAGGTCCTTTGGACCTTTGGGCTCCTCGGCCCATAGAGGTGGGCATACACTCTCAAAATCTCTGTAATGGCTACACAGGACCTGGGAGGCCCAGGAAAGAAAGAAAAGGCCACCCATAGAGGCCACTTCCTGGGAGGTCAACACGCTTGGCCTCCTTATCGTTGTGCCTGGGGAAAGGACAAACCAGGCCAGCTACCTGTGTTGGTGTCCAGCACAAAGGTTTCGGTCAGCTGGTCTCCTGTCCTTGCTGGGGCTTCCAGCCGCACGTTGAGGGGGCTGGGCAGGACTGCCCGGTGTGTGCTGCCCCCGGCCCCGTTGTACACGCCACTCACGTGGAGGGAGTCATGGTACACACGTGTGCCTAGGTACGCGTTGGTTACCGTGGCTAAGAGCCGGGGGTCTCTGGGTAGAGAGTGCGCGGCGAACACGGTGGGGTCTGGCGAGGAATCCTCCATAGGCAGTCTCTGTGGGCAGACTTGGCTGTGACTGCCCAAGCCAGCCGTCTCCCCAAACCTCACGCTGCATCCGCGAGGGCACGCGGACCCGCGTTCGGTAGTCGGGAGCGCCGCGGTCAAACCAGGAAGCTTGGGGCTATCGCGATCGTCCGCGGGATCTCCGGGATTCACCGTAGCCGGTGACCAGGGCTGCAGTCCGTGCTAGGTCACCGGACGCCCCCTGGTGTCCTTCGGTGCAGCCAGGGGGCGCCAGCTCGGAAGTCACGTGACACGTGACCACATCCGGGCGTGGCTTCGGGACTCGCGCGTCTTGGGGCGTGGGGCGCTCCCACACCAGCATTTTGAGGCTTTACTAAGTAATCCTGGTGAGACGCGCCAGACCCCAACGACGAGAGGCCCATGCTTGTTGAAAAACAAGTATGTCTGCAGAGCTGGATTTGGGGTGCTTGGCGTGTGACGATGTATTTGCCTTTTTCAGTTCTCTACTGTGTTCCTTTCGCCGGAGGGGGCCACTGTCCAGTTCTGCTAGAGATGTGCCGTTTTGCTTGGGGATCCCCACCAGCTCACTCCACCTCCACCTCTTGTACCAGCAGGTCTCCACCCCTACCCATATGAAGCTCCGGGACACTGCTCTGGAGTGCACACCACCTAGCCTGACCTAAATTTAGGACGGTGTGTGGGTTGGCTTGTCAAGCTCCCCATTTTGGCGTCCAGCGTGGACACAAAGTCAGGGCATTCCTTTAGTCTCTCAGGGGACTGCAGTAGGGCTGCCTCACCACCCTAACCAGGGCCTGCCTCGGTTCCCCTCTCTTCTCCTGCGTTCCAAGGGTGCTCCCCCAGGCCCCCAAACCCCACCCTTTGTCTCAGGTATGTAGAACACTTTTTTGACCCTAACCCAGGCCTCATCCAACCTGCTCCAGGCACTTTGCAGCCCCTCACTGCACTGTACTTTCGTGCTGGGCATGAGTCAGCGCCTTTGTTATTTAGTGCAGAATGTACTTGTGTATTACAAATGTACTTATGAGGTCTTGTTCATCTTATATGTGTTTACTATATTATTATTTCTGTATCTGGGAGGCAAAGGAGTCATAAATTTGAGGCCAGAGTTTTTGGCAACATGGGCAAACCTTGTCTTGATTTTAAAAACTCACTGTGATGGTGCTCACCTATAATTCCAGCACTTTAGGAGGGTTGCTAATTTGAGTCACTTTAGGGAGTTAGCGAGACCCTGTCTCAAAAATTAAAAATGAAATAAGATAAAATTAAAAAAAAATTCTGGGGACTTAGTTCAGTTTGAAGGCCGAATTCAATCCCCAGTACTGTTTTTTTTAAGCACCCTATATTTACTGTGTTATGTTTTTGTATATTACATGTACAATATCTACTGTATCTTCTGTCATATGTGTATTTACTGTGCTGTTTGCATGTTACCTACATGTTTATTATCTGTCTTCTACCTAGAATGCTGCCTTAGGAGGCCAGGTTTTTTTTGTTTTTTTTTTTCAGTTTTGGGAATGAAAGAGTGGATTTACAAAGTGGTAATAGAGGGTATTTTCCCTGGGAAATGACTCCAGGATACTCTCATCAAGTATGGGGCCCAAGAATGTCAAGAGCCTTCAAGAACCTGGCAGAGGAGACTGGGGCTTCCAGCGTGCTCCCTGCTTTCTGCAGCCAGGCCAGCTACTGACCCTGTTTCCCCAGTGGTGCTGTGGACTGAGCCCTGTCCTGTGCAGGTAGATTGGTGAAAGGCCATCAAGACCTGCTGGGATGCTTGACCAATGAGCAAAGACCAATGAAAAAGATTCCACTGGAGAATTCATTATCAATATACCAGAGCCATCAAAATTCCCAACCAGGGATCGCTGTTTTGCTCCCACCTCCTGCCTTTGGAGCAAGGAAGGCTTCTTCTGGGCTCTGATCTCTGTGTCCTCCAATTGCTCCATGCTCTAGGCCTTAGAGGGCACTGCTTACTCCCTCAGGAGGACCATGGTGGCTGTCAAGTGCTGGGTGGATGATGGCCAGGCTGGGCTTTGCTGTCTTCACGTCCCTCAGCTCCTGCACCGAAGTTTCATTCAGCTCCACAGAGGCCAGACTGCAATCATGTGCATAGGACAGAGGGTTGGGTCATAGAGGAGGAAGAGGGCTTTGGGCACAGTGCTGGGGACCTTGGAGTGGGGGCAGTGATGAGGCTAATGCCCTTGTCTGTCAAAGGGACAGGGACAGGTGACCGGTCAGGGATCTGCTAAAGATGAGTGGCTCTTGGAGGAACAAAGTGAAGGTAGGATCAGTGTCCAGACTGTGGCATGGAATAGGGGTATTTGGTTAGCAAAGTGGTCTAGGGCTTCAGAGAGGGCTTCTGCAGACCTGGCCCCCAGATCTTGTTGGAGCCTGTCACTTGAAAGGTCTCTGGAGGGAGCTTCTCATGAGGGCTTGTGGGAGCCCCAGGAAATCCCATGGGGTGGACAGGCTGGGTCCTAGCACCCTGCCTGCTTGCCCCTGTTTTCACCTGAGGGTTTGAAGGCTGCATGCTGGGTGCTGCAGGACTGTACACAAGTAGGTCACCATGGAGCCAGGCAGGTGACAGCCGCTGAGGTCCAAGGTGGTGAGGGTGTGGCTTTGCTGGAGCAGGGCTATCAGGCACTGGAATGCTTCCAGGGGTCTTAGAAGTAGCACCCTGGGAAAAAGCTGATCTCAGAAGCTGCTGGGGAGTTGGGGTCATGCTCCTCCAGCCTCCCAGGGGGTCCTCACCTGAGTGTCTGCACCTGGCACTGGGGCCAGGCCAGGCCCTCGCTGATCACCCGCAGACCAGCCTCACTGAGCCTACAGTGGAGGAGGCTCAGCTCTGTCAGGGCAGGGGCTTTCCTTAGGGCCACTGAGAGGTCTCGGCAGACCCTGTCAGAGAGTTTGCAGTGGGACAGCCTGTGGCCAAGAAGACACAGATCTAATGTGTGAAATCCTGAGTTTGATCTGTAGCACCAAATAAAAGCAAAAACAAATCCCCAAAAGAAGCAGATGGATCTGTTTTTGAGCATCCTGCATATTTCTTGCTCTCAAATGCACAAACTGCTTCCTGACGGCCTAATATTCACCTTGGAGAAAGTGTGGAGTCCATTTAGTTGGGTCATCATTTCTTTGGTCGCTATTCCCTGTGGCAGTTGTGTCATTTCCGCTTTTTTCTCTTTCTTTTTTCCTTGCCACGATAAGCAATGGAATGCTGAGTATTATTGTGCATTTAGTTTGCTGGTAGAATTGCTGGGCCAAATGTGGTCACCCTTTGGGCTTCGTATGTTTATTTCTATCTCCTCCCATACCTATCAGACTGGTGTGTCTGGTCACCACTGATGGGTGACTGTCACTTTCACTGTGCCTGTCAGTATTAATTCTTACAACTTCTCTTCTTTCTGCTCACTGGTGATTGCTAACAGTCATTGAACACTGTTGCTTCCAGGTGCTACACATTTCAGTTCCTGATATCTCAGCTCAGCCCACTGAGGAAGAATCTAAGGTTCATTTCATACCAAGCTTTTCCTCACTAGAACCTCTGTCTGACATGGAAGTGGAGTCCTAGTGGACCCTCAGGCTCTCCTATGGTCACCCTTCAATGTCTGCACAGGATACCCTCATCTGAGTCCCCTTAATGGAAGGAAGAGGCTGTGGTCACTCACCTTAGGCTGCTTAGGCCACACCACATGTCAGTCATGGCCTCGCAGAGTGGATGCAGTGGAGAGACCTGGAGTTGCTTCATGGCAGCTTGCGAATTGCTAGGAGAGAGAAGTGGTGAGGCCTACTATGACCCTTCTAAGCTCCTTCCTATCTGTGGTCTTGGGCTCTTGGAGCCACTTCTACCAGTCACCCCACACTAAACCAGAATTCTTCCATCCCTTCTACAGGACCTTGGGTCTAGGCCTTGCCAATGTCCTGGTAAACACCTGAGATGGGTGCTGAGTGAAGCTAAGTTCAAAGAAACTATCACAATTTTTGCACTGAAGGGGCTGAGGGTCTAGTAGAAGACGCTGGCCTGAGGGAAGCAGAATAACCCATGGAATTCCAGGTTATCTGGGACATCCAAGGCAGGCTTTAAAGATGGGCAACCAAGGAAGTGCTACACATGGAAGGAACAGTGTGTACAAGGCTCAGGGCAGAGGACGTGGTGCATTCCAGAGCTCACTGGAATAAACGCACAGGGAGCGGGTTGGACCAGAGCTGTAGGAGGCAGCTGTTGTACTAGGTCTGCATTGTGGATGGCTAAACCTCGGCATCGTAAGGACACCATGGGGAAGATGGATGCTAGGCAGCTGCCTTGCAAGAGGGAGGCAGAAGTAGCTCTAAGGTTCGCCTGTCACTGGGTGAACAGACACCATGTCTGGACATGTGCCCTAAACTGAGAGGGAACCAGTGCACAGGCACACACTGTCACCTGTGCCTCATGAGACTCACCCCTTCAGCCACCTCACCAGGTTCCCTTTCTTTTTTTTCTCCTGCCCAGTCACCAGGCTGCAGCTGACTAGCTGCAGCACCTGTCCAGCTGGGCAGCACCGAATACAGTAGCTCAGAACATTGAGATCCATGCGGCTAAAGCACACGTGCTCCAGTGTCAGTTCGGGGAGGCTTCTCAGAGCCTGGTACACAAAGACATCATCCTGGGTCTCATACAAACAGTACAGCAGCTCTAAAAGGAAGTTGGGGTCTTCCTCCTCTTCTTCCTCCTCTGGCTTCTCTGTGTCCTTGAGCCCTTCAGCCCTGTCTGTTCCTTGTGGTGCTACCCAGGAGTGGCCCTGATTCTGTACCCATTTCAGGGCATCCTGCTTCACCTGTGCTGGGACCACGCAGCTGAAGTGGCGCTGGACATCCTGCACATGCTCCATGCTCAGCAGCCCAAAGAAGAAGCGCATAGTGAGTGTGAGGTGGCTGTGCTGCTCCATGCCCTTGTGCAACAGCATCCCCAACCTCCCCACAGAGACCCCGGGTGGGCCTTCATCCTCCAGCAAAAAGGAAAGCGCTGCAAAGAACTCCTGGAAGCTCTGGTCGATGAACTGGTAGATTACCTCAGTCTCCAGCACCCCTGGCAGCTCCTTCTTGGTGAGAAAGTGCTGGACGTCAGAATCCTGAAGCTCCAGGCACTTCAAGTCCCTTTCTGAGAATTGTGCCTTGCATCCTAGGACCCCGTCGCGGGCCAGGTGGCACAGCTTGCGTAGCTCTCCCCGCACGCGAGCCTCCTCGGCGCCCATGGAGCTCAGCGCGCTGCCCAGGAAGAGCAGGTACACTGAAGTGGTGGTCTTGGAGGTGCGTGACAGGTCTCGGTCCAGCTCCAGCTGCTGGCGTAATACAGTGCACACGATCCAGCACACGACTGGCACGAAGCACAGGGCAAACAGCGTCTCGTTTTCCTTCACAAAGCGATAGGCGCGCTTGGCCCTGTGCTCCTCCTGGAAGAACTTGTAGAAGTACTTCTTCTTGTCCTTGTCTGAGAAGCCGCGCACCTCGGCGCGCTGCGGCGCGTACAGGCTGCAGTGCAGCTTCCAGGTGGCAGTGGTGCGCTTGGTCACCAGCAGGCGAGCCGGGGGGCAGCAGTGCCTTGCTCAGCAGCCCGCCCAGCACCAGCGCGCCGCTCGCTGCCTGGAAGGGATCGGTGCAGGGGGCGGCCTCGAAGGCCCCGGGCGTGGGCAGCTCGTCGGCGCCGTCCAAGATAAAGAGCAACCGTTGTGGCTGAGCTAGCATCTGCGACACCGGCGCACCACGGTCCGGGCACTGGTCCAGGATGAGGTCGGACAAGCTGCGCTCGCCGGGCCGCTGCAGCAGCTTGCGACCCTGCAGGAAGAAGGCGAAGTCCACCTGGCCGCGGTACAGCTAACCTGCTGCCCAGTCGTACAGGATCTTCTTGGCCGCCATGGTCTTGCCAATACCCGCCGGGCCTTGCAGGACCACGGTCAGCGGCCGTCGGCCCTCGTTGTCGCGGCCGAACAGCCTGTTGAAGGTGTGCGTGTCCGAGCGCCCGGCGCGACCGGGCTCGGGTTCTTCCGCGGGCCCCAGAGCCGCTGCCTCCTCCCTGGGCGCCGCGCTCTCTGGCTCGATGAGCAACTTGGTGAAACGCTGGCTGATCTTCACGGAGCGTGCGTTCCTCTCCCTCACCTTGGCGTGCTGCAGCAGCACATGCTGCCGGTATTTTTTCTGGAACTCTGCGGAGTGGAGACGCGGAAGTAGAGTCAAAGCGCTGGGGACTCGCCCTCCCCCAGGCCTTAGTTTCCTCCCTTGTGGAGATCCCTGAGAGTCTGGGGCCGCGGTGGTCGCGCTGGAGCCACTTACCCGACACAGAGAGTAGTGCCACGGAGCTGGGGCCGAGCCCTGCAAAGGAAACCGCACTGAGGTCTGTGAGTGAGTGCGCGTAGGGTGGGACCTGCCACGGACTGGAGGCTCCCTCCAGAGCATCCGGGACCCCAGATTTGCAGATAAAGAGCCGGGGTTTTTCTGGTAAGTGGGAAGGAGGGAGGCCGTGTGGATGGGGACTTCTCCCAGGGGCGCAGCAGAATGGGGGCCACAGAAACACCGCCCCTGCTCACGTTGCAGTCGTTGCCCCTTGAGCCGCGCTGCCACGTCGCGCACATCCGCTCTTTTTAGGGTCTTGCAGGCCACGTCCAAAGCCGGCTCTGGCCCATAGAAGTGGGTCAGCTGGTCCGCGAGGTCCACAGCATCCGCGCACTCCAGCCGCCCCCAGGGGATGCTGCGACCGTTCACCGACGCATCCCGCAGCTTGTGGCGGAATCGCTTCAGTTGGTCCTGGCTCAGGTCCTCCAGTGCAATCAGGAGCAGCTCTCGGGCTGCAGCCACGCGGGCCTCCAAGCTGCGGCGGGCAAGGCAGGTTCTTCAGGGCTCCGCCTCCGCAGTCCCGAACCTCAGTGCGGAGTGTGGAGTCTCCACAGCTGGCAGATGCTTAGACACCCGTTTCTTTCTCCCTGGGTCTCACACCAATGCATGCTAGAGAGCTAGATGATGAAGTAAACCCCAGAGTCTGTCCCCCGCTTCTGAACCTCTGGGATCAGTGGGTCCCTTGGTGGACACCACTGACCTGCCGGTGAATCTTCCTGCTGCACTTCCCTTATTGCTCCCTTACTTCCACACACTGGGTCAAATGTCCAGGAAGCCTTGTCTACAAGGCCTGAGCTCTCATTTTCTTTCTCTTTTGAGAGCAGGACCTGGCAGACAGGCCAGGCCTCAGAATTCATTACTGTGATGTCCCTGCAGACTTTGCTGGGACCCTGCTAGGGCCCTAGCACTAAGGAACTGAATCCTCTAGTAAGGAACATATCCCTAAGTTCCCTGAGGACTGTGTGAAGCTCTAGGAAATCAGCACAAATGAGGACCCCCACACCTCTGCCAAGACCAGCACATACCTGACCCACACTTACCTGCAGCAGGAAACACTGGGCTGGTCCATGGAGGCTCTGCATGGGTCTGACACTCACTCAGAGACAGGTGAGCTGGGAGAGGCTGCCAGCCCTTTTCCAGGATGAATGGGCCAGTTTCTGGGGTAGGAATGGTTCAGCCTCATGCATTCCCCAGGTCTGAGCCTTCTGGTAAGACAGTCCCCAAGGTCCCAAGCCCAGGCAGTGTGGCTTGCATGCACCCTATAAATGCTCTGCTTGGTGACCTTTGGTTTTTTGTTCTTCTGTTAACATCTCTGAGGTGGTGGTATTGGAGTGTGGCCAGGAGCAGGTGCCTGCAAAGGGAGTGGACAGCATAGAGAAAGTGCTGGCTCAGAACTGGCCTTCAGCTAAGGTCTCCATGCAATTACATTCTGCAAGCAGTGGCAAGAAGGGGCTTCCAGGCAGGGGAACTCCAGGAGCAAAAGAGGAATGCTCAGGACAGTTGTCAGGGCACAGGAAGACAGGGGGTGGAAAGTGAGGATGGGGACACAAGCTCTGCAGCATCCCACATGGTTCTGAGGAGGGTAATGGGTACAGGTTTGGACAAAAGGAGTGCTGTGACCCCACAAATAGCCACCAGAATGTGGGTTCCAGTGTCTGCATGGCAGTGTGAAGTGTGCATACACTCACATCTGAGTAGCCATGCTTAATACTGTGCTAGTGTGAACAAATTTATTTATAGTGGTCTCCAAAGACAACAGGTCCTAATCTTGAGAGCTGTGAGTGTTCCCTCATATACAAAAAGGGACTTTGTAGATGTGACAAAATTTAGGATCTAGAGATGGGTTGGTATCCTGGATTACTCAACTGGGCCCAACATGTCATCACAAGTGCCATTAGATAGAGGTGGAGGGTGATTTGACATAGAACAAGATGCTATTCTAGGGACCCTGAAACTGGAGGAAGGGGCCAGCACAAGACACCCAAGGAAGAAGGCTCTGAGATGCCAGAGGATTTTAGACTTTTAACCTCTTGAATGGTGAGAGAAGTCTTGCTGTTTTGATCACTGTGTTGTTGTTGTTTTGTTTGTTTGTTTGTTACAGCAGTTGCAGACCCCTGAAGTGGACTGGTGAGCAAAGCTAGTTGCTCTGGTACTCAATTGGTACAACTCAGCCTCTCTGCGAGTCTCACATATAGGCTTCATCCACCTGGCCCCATTTTTCCCTATAACTATTTAAGACCAACAGGCTCCTTGAGGAAGGCTCAAGTAATCAAAGACATGACTCATGTTCAGCAACCTCCATCCTGCCTAATCACCCCAATCTCTCTAACTTCAGGACTACCAGCACCTGGAGAGTCTCAGTGAATAAGGGGCTTACAAGTTCTTCACAGACTAAGGATGACTTGGCCTTCAGGAACAGGTAGGAACCAACATTACATTTCTAGGGGTGGTGGCCCAAATTTTGAGTGTCCTTTATGGCCAGGAATAAATTTCTCATCCTTGTGTGCTGGAGGACCATGGGCTAAGTGTGGTAGGCTCAAAGCCCTTGGTTCATGGGGACCCCCATTCTCTTGACAAGTGGTCTGGGACTCACCTTCTCTGACAGGCTGGGATTTTGCAGGGGGAACCTTGCAAGGCAAAGGAACAACCTTGTGAACAAATGGCTTGGGGGGGTGTTAGGCCCTGTGTAGCATGGTGGGTGTCACTGGGTCTCAAGGCCATTGCTGCATCTGTGAAAACCCCAGTGGCTCTTGTTGACTCCTGGCTAAACTGAGCTGTAACATGAGATTTCACCACGCTTCTATGGATGCAGACGTGGCCCATAGAAGCATGGATGTGTTGTTCTTAAACAAATGTTTACTTTATGATGGAGAAAAGAAGTTCTCCACTATAGCCATGTCTTCTTTTCACTGTCAATTAAAACAGAAAGCAGAAATCTAGGCTGCCTGGATCCAATTCTGGATGTGCTGCCTAGTAACTTTGTGATTTGGGGCAGAAGGTTTCACCTCTCTGTGCCTCTGCTTCCCTGTCTGTACGATGGATGGGGTAGGCTCAACTCTTCCATCACGGGAGAGACATATATGGGCAGCACTTCAAGCACTTGCTGTTTTTAGCTATGTGTCCCTGCGCGGCTGCTGCCATCACTGCCTTGCTTCCTAGAAGCTGTGATTTCCAGGCCATCAAGGATAGTCCAGTCTCAACCCATTTTGGTTCTCACACTAAATCACTTCTCAGTAGCCCTGAACATGACCAAAATTGCCTCTTCCTTGAAAGGCTCCATTCCTGTTATGGAAGGAATGGAGGATCATAGTGCAGGGAGCTGGGTCATCTGTGAGGCCCATGGTTTGGGAACTCAGAGGATGGTCAGCCTTACCTCTGCACTGGAAGGGCCACCCTGTAGTGGACTCTGCCCAAGAGCTTTTGATACTTCTGGCAGTGGGCCAGGAAAGGCTGATAACAGGAGCCAGTTTCAGAATCACAGGTGAGACTTACAGCTTTGGTGAGGGGATGGGGTGGGACCCTATTGGGAAGGGTGGAGGAGAAGGGAAGATAAAGGGAGTTGGGCGGGTGGGGTGTGGAGCCAGCCCCTAAGCAATGGTGGCTGCTGGTGGATTTACATCACCATGGAGCTAGCTTCTGAGCAGAGCCTCTCCCCAGGTACAGCTGAGATTTAGAACACAGCTTCTAGTCCATAATGACATTTACAGAGGCCTTTTCTGTGGGGGTTTACTACTCAGCAAAACTTCATGGCTCTATCACTTTTTCCCTATTTCCATGCTTTGCCTACATGGCTGCTGAAAAGCTGTCCCCAGGTTCTCTTGGTTGCTTAGTATCATCCACTCAACCTCTGTGGTCCTTCTTACTCAGAATGCCTGGCTTTGGTTCATTTCAGGTGTCCACAGAAAAACTTCCTAGAGCTCTACCTGCTGCACTTGGAGAAGTAGACAAGGAAAGGAGGGGACCTACAGCTATGCACCCATGACAAGACATGTGCTGAGAAGGACACAGGCTCCTGGAACTGGCTCAAGAAGAAACAAAAATCCTTAAACTTACTTATAACAAGAAAAGAGATTGAATCAAAAACCTTCCTGGAAAAAAAAAAGCTATGCACCTGGGGGCTTCCCCGGAGAAGGCACCAGCAAGCATGGGCATCAGTCCTGCACACTCCTTCAAGAAGCAAGATGGAGAGAACAATGCTGGCCCCCGTCCAGGAGCCACACCACCTGACAGCAAGCCTACAAACCTGTCACAAGAAACCTAAGAACATCTTTTATGAACACAGCCATGGAGAACCTCGTAAAGCACTTAGCCAACAGAGTGTTAACACAGGAAAACACTAAACGAGGACTGAATGGGACTTCTCCCAGAAGTTCAAGACTAGTTCAACACTCCAAATCAATTAATCTATCGTTAATATTAGAAAAGAGAAAAGCCACTGATCAGCTCCATAGATGCAAAAAATATTTTACAGTATTCAACACCTTTTCACAGTTAAAAACTCTGAACAGGAGAAATGGGGGAATTTCTCTAAATAGAAACCCCAAAATGTTTGGAAATTAAGCAATGTATTTCCAAAATAGCACATGGGTCGAAAAGAAAGTTTCAAGGGGAATTTTTTTTGGGGGTGAGTAGGTGTAAGACTATAAACCGTAGCTAACTTTAAATATATTTTTAATTAAATAAAAATTTTAAAATATGTAAATAAAAATACAAGTTAGCAAAATTTGTAGGATTCATCAAAAGCAGTTCTTTTCTTTTTTTTTTAATTTTATTTATTTGTGGGGGGCAGCTCAGCCCACCAGGGGGCGGGGCTGGCTGGCATGTGGTGCTGGGGGATTGAACCGCGGTCCCTGTGCTTTGCTGAGCTTGTTCTAAGTAGGTGCTTTAGACCACTGAGCCATCTCACCAGCCCAGAAAGCAGTTCTTATGGGGGAATTTATAACATTCTGATGTTCATACTAGAAAAAAAGAGACAGCTCTAAAATTATGTCTTAACTTCCACCTTGAGAAAGCAAGAAAATAAACCAAATTAAATCCAAATTAAGCAAGGGAAAGAGAAATAACAAAAATAGATCCAAAACCAGTAAAACTTAAAGAAAATCAATAGAGATGATCAGAGGATCCAGAGTTTTTGTTTAAAGGATAATGTTGATAACTCCCTAGCCAGACCACAAAGACAAGGAGAAAAGTGTGTGTGTGTGTGTGTGTGTGTGTGTGTGTGTGTGAGAGAGAGAGAGAGAGAGAGAGAGGATATATATATATATATATATATATATATATATATTTAGAACTGTGAACGAGGCCATCACTACTAACTCCATGGATATTAGAAGAATAATAAAAGAATACTATGAATAACTCTTGGCCCATTTTTGATGAAATGGACCAATTCCTCAGAGGAAATCTTCCAAAACTCACTCAGGTAGACGGATTAAATTAGCTCTTACTACAGAAATAAAATCAACAACTAAAAAAAGCATCAAATAATTCTAAAACCTGAAGTTGTTAGGCTCAAGTGATTTCACTGGTAAATTCTACCAAACATTTGAAGAAGTAATAACAATTCTCTATAATATCTTACAGAAAATAAAAGCAGAGGAAATGCTTCCTAACTCATTCATTGAAGCCAGTAATGACTTAACCAAACCCAGAAAAATATAGTACAAGACAATAAAACTACAGACCAATAATAAACATAGACACAAAAATCCTCAACAAAATATTGGCGAGTCAAATCCAACATGCGTAGAGTGAATTATATCTCATGACCAGCTGTGGATTCAGGCGTCCACAGCTAGTTTAAATTCAAATATCAGTTAAAGTAGAAAATCATGGTCAAACAGATGCAGAAAAGCATTTGACAAAATTCAACATTCATTTATGATTTTAAAAAAAGCTCTCTCAAGAAATAGAGTAGAGGGCTGGGGAGATAGCTCAGTAGAATAAGCACTTGCCCGGCAAGCACAAGGTCCTGAGTTCAATCCCCAGTACCGCCAAAAAAAAAAAAAAAAAGAAATAGGGTAGAACTCACACAACCCAATGAGGAACATCTTCAAAATACCTTCAGCT